CTGTGCTCAAACAAAAACTTTTTGTTTTGCACAATGTGAAAAATTTACATGTCCTTCTATGGATGGATCTGTCATAAAAATCCCTTGGTGCATTTAAAAAACCGTGCCTTTGAAGGCTCCTGGGGCAGGAGCCACACAGGAGGAGGTCAGCAGGAGGTGGTTTCTCCTGACACTTCTTTCTTCTAAAGCACATAAATGTTAGAGAAAATTTGGGAGACATGTCCAACTCACCTCCCTGGGAAAGAAGCTATTTGGGTGGCTTGGGCAGGGTTTGTGTGAAAACCAGAGAGGACTTGGGGGAAAAAAAAAGTAGTCTGTTCAAGTCTAATTTCCCTTCCTGCCTAGCTTGAGGGAGCAGGGGTGTGGTGGTCAACAATCAGCTGTATTTGTCTTTCTTAGGACCAGTCTATCTGACTGAGAGCTCTTAGAGTTTTTTTGTTTTGTTCTGTTGTGTTTTGACCCCCTGTCCATGTTGTTGTTGGGTTTTCCAAGTGCGTTACCTTTCTCCACCAGGCAAACAGTCTGAGATAACCAAGGTGTAAAGAAACTTCTCTGGCACTTCAGGAAGGCCCTCCCCGCCCCTGCCCAGTTCCTTCCTTCCCAGAGGATTCACTCACTGCAACTAGTTCGATTTCAGCAGGACCTGGAAACCTGTGCCGGGCCTGAAGTCAGGTAGGAAAGACGACTGCGAATTCATGGAAATGTTAATAATTCCAGCTTTGGAGGCTAAAGAAATGTAGAAAGTATCCTTTGTCGGTAAGACAAACAATACGCATAAAATCTGTTGGATGACCTCTGGCACAGCACGTCATATACATATGTAAAGATCCTTTAAAACTCGAGGGAAGGCCCTTTTCCAAAGGCTAGTTTACAGTTTCCAAGGGAGGGAGGCGGGCAGGGAGGAGTAAGGAGGACCTTCCAGGTGTGTCTTCCAATCGCGATAGCTGGTTTTGGCTGTGAATCTGTCCCCCCACCCCTTCCCTCTTGCGTTAATTAAATGAACGCTCCGAGCGTGAGTTTTCAGCACACGACTCGGCCCTCGGGGAGCTGTTTCCTCCCCTGCGCCTGCTCTTAAAACCTCAGCTCCCGGAGTTGAAGGCCTGCAACATGAATTTCCAGTTCCTAAGGGTGAGAAGTGGCGTTTGCGTGGAGGGTAGTTGCGGTTCCCGATTCCGGCAGGGAGGAGAGGCGAGCTCAAGGACCGCTGCTAAGCTTGAGGGCTGGCGGCTAGACAGAGGGCGCCTGCCGGGTGCAGGGTGGCTCTCGCGCTCTGCGGTGGCTGCCTCTCCTGCCCAGTACTGGCGCAGGAAGACGGGTGCGCGCCGCCAGCGCCTGGCCATAGTGGGCCTTCTCTTCTCCCGAACGCGAACAAGATAAGTGAGTTAAAGCCTCCGGGCTTAGCTGTCCTGGAGGTATATGGTGACCTAGGACACCGAGCGGGGAAGGCCTCCAGGTACAGGGGGCCCCCGCCTGCGCTCGGAGCGGTTAGGTCGCGCACCGACCAGCCCCGGGACATTAATGGAGAGGTGATAGGCAAGCTTCCAAGCTGAGTGGCCTCTGGCTGATTGGGCTCCCCAGGCGAAGGGCTGGGGAGAACCAGGACTGTCTCTCTTAGCGGGACCCTGAGAGCAGTTAGACAGTGGCTTTGGATACTACTAGGCAATCTGTGGCTTTGAGGTACTTGGACAACTCAAAACCCACCTTTGCTGCTATCAAATGGGACAGATGCCCACGAGGTCTCGGTTTGGAGAGCGCGGTACAAATGTGCGCCGGTACCAGATCTGGGACAGAATTGACTGGGCCCCCCTCGGAAGCTTGGAACCTCAAGTACCCTCAACTTGGCGCTTCGCTTTGCTTGTCTGTAAAGAGGCGTTGTTTGGGAGGAAGACTAAGGATTGAGAAGCCGCTTCCAGTATGCGGCCTGTCGCAATTCGCTAGAGCCAGGTTGGACCTAGACCCGAGGAGTGTGTGTGTGTGTGTGTGTGTGTGTGTGTGTGTGCGTGTGGCTTTGCATGCTATTAACAACTCTGTTATTTATTTTTATCAAGATTGTTAATATTTTGGAGTGCCTGTGAATTGATGAGTGTAGCGCTGGAGGGGGTGCGGCTTAATGGCTTTACATACTTCTGGGTTTCCAGTGAAGCCCAGTGTGTGTCCAGTGTTCCGCGAAAGAAGGGTGAAGCACGACAACCGCCCTCTTCTCCCTGATTAACCGCAGCCTCCGGCTTCTGAGCCTGCTCGACTTGGCGGGCTAGCCATTGACTGAGGTCAGGCTGTTGCAAGGGGTGGGACAGAGGTCCGGCGCAGGGTCCGCAAAATCGCTTGGAGGCCTCCACCTGCGGATCGGGACGCCTCTTCCTAGGGGCCCAATCCAGCTTTACCCGCGAAACTGCCTAGTTCGGCCTGGAGTGGGGGTGGAGATTGGACGGCTGAGGATTTTGGCCTGGGGCCTGGAGCCCTGTTTCCAAGAGGCACTCGCCCACCCTCTTCCGAGGTGGTTCACAATTGGGGTGCTGCTGTTCTTGCGAACACCTGGTCGTCCCTGGTCTGTGCTTTCTTGGGCCATCCTGAGGCTCCCAAGCGAGAGTGTGTGTGACTGCGGGCCCCCTAGGGGGCGGCAGAGCGGAGCCCCTGAAACCTTCCACCCCCGCATCCCTGTTTCCGCCAGGCGTGGATCCTGACGGTTAGTCTCGCTGCTGCGAGGCCTCTGGGGGTCCAGAGTGGCCATTCTACCCTCGGTGCTGTCCGCCTAAGGGCGCAGCCCCACTGTGCCGCAAGGGGCAGGGGCTTCGGAGTGAGGTTTGTTGTGGGGGCCAGAGCAATCGGTTCACAGTAGTTCTCTGCTAAGAAGTGGAGTTCACCGAAGGCTGAGGCTTCCGGCACCTTGACAAGGGGCGCGCGCCTAGGTTCCGGCCCGAAGCAGATGGTGTGCAAGTTTGGGCAGGGTTTCCAGAGACGGGAGGATGATTTTTTTTTTTTTTTGAGTCGCCTCCCCCATCGCGGGTTGCGTTCTAGCGCGAGCGCGAATGAATGGCCTTTGCCAAGTGGTTCCGAAGTCTGCTCTCTTGGGTCTTCCAGAGAGGCAGCGAGTGGACCCTAGGTGTCCGTCGACTTCCCCGCCTCCGCCATTGCCACTCCCAGGCAGAAAGGAATCTCTGTTCCTCAGTGCGGCTCTGGCGAGAGCTGCCGCGGGAAACAAGGACAGCTAGGGCCTGGGGTATGGAGTAAGCACCTTTCTTCCCACTCCTGGCGCCAGCCTGCAGGTAAAGTTGCAGGCACAGAACAGACTACTTTCTCTCATGCTGCACCCCAGGTCGGTCTTGGAGGAAACCGCGAGGCTAGAAGGCAAAGAGTGGTGGAAAGCCCAGCGTCACCCTTTAGAGAATCTGGGGCGCCCGAAGGAGGCGCCGGAGCCTCCTTCTCGCGAGAGCCCTGGGACCCCGATCTTCCTAGTCCTGGGCACGAGCGGCGCTGGGGTCCAATACTGGCATCCAGCAGGTGCCGGGGTTCCCCTATCTGCGAATACCAGGAGCGCTGGCTGTTTCTGCGGTTATTTAACCCCCCAGGCTCCTGTTTTGGAAGTGAGGAGTCAGGATTGGGTATGTCGTTTAAATTCATTGTGCTTTGTACTTAGTTCAAAGCTCCGCAGACATCCTTGGCCCCAAAAACCCCAGTGATTTCAACTTTCAGGTTTTTGGTCTCACATTTGGTCGAAAAATCACCTCGGACCTGGCTGCTCCCTAAGGCGAGGGGGAATGTTCCCCTTGGAGGACATGTATTTTTATTTTAGTTCTTACTTTATTTGAGGCCCAACTGGGTCTAAAGATATGCTCAAACAAACCCGAGGAAGAGCAGGAAGGTGGAGGAAGACGTCCTGTTGTGGATGGGAGAATCAAGTCCACTCCAGGTGTTTGGGGTGGAAGGGGGCACTTGTACTGATCAGTATTGATGATTGCAAAATTGGATTAGGAATCAAATCGAAATAGTCTCCTCATCCAATCCCCTTAGAATATTTAAATCCAGACCCGGAAGCCAATTGGGATGTCCAGACAAATTTTGCCCTCAAGAATTAACAACTTTCCTCTTGTAATAAAAAAAAATCAATTATAATAATTGAGTTAATGAATTTCGTTTCTTTAAAAATGAACACTGAACGTTGCTTTCAAGTGCAGGCATCAAGTACATGTGAAGGAAAGGAGGCAGAGTTTAGGTAGAATAAAGTTTCGTTTTCTCCCTCCACCTGTGGAACGGGCATGCCCACTTCTCTTCCCCATACCCCCTTACCCCACCCACCTGTGGCGCTTCGATTTTGTTGTACCCCGCACCTCTTGGTTGGCGAGTAGAGCCTTTTGAATGGCTCGCCCGAGGCATTTGCAGATCGGCTCAACTTCTGGGCAGGTAGAATAAGGTGCTGCCTCTTAGGCGCTAGGGCGGACTCCTCAAGAAACCTTTCTTCACCCGGTCCTCTGCGTCAGGATGGCGTACTAACTTGGGAGAAGACAAGGGGTGACTGGGGCGGATCTCGGGGCTACAGCTGCACGACCCCAGCCTAGTTCTTGGGGGCAGGTGGGGTGAGGGTGTGTAGTTAGATTAAGGGGACACAACTGTTGAGACACTCCGCACGCAGAGTGTCCACTTCCAGGTGACCTCGGTCTTTTGGAAATCGTGAAAAGGCCCTTTACGTGACAAGAGAACAGCTCGTGGGTATTTGGTTCACAGCTCTGCCAATCTCAGGTGCGTGCAGGGTGGGAGTGACGAGGAAGGCGCGTGGGGTCCTCAGGCCTCGCTGGTGTGTGGTTCTTAGCGAGGTACGGTCCACTGACTCCCCTCCTAGCCCCTCGCAACGTCGGGCCAGGCGCGACGCCAGGTCCGGGTGCGGGGCGGAGCTAGGCTGGGACTGGCTGGGGGCCGCCCCGCCCTGCGCCTGGGCCTCCGCGCCGGCCCCCGGGGAGGAGTTATGATAATTTCCTTCTCATTAAGGCACTCGGGTCCCGCGGCTATCGCCGGGACACGGTGCGGGTGCGGCTTCCCGGGTCCACGGCAGCGGTCTCTACACCCGCGGCGGCAACATCTACGCTCTTACGTCCGCCGATGTGCGTCCAGTGATCGGGACAGCAAGGCCCGCGCGCGGCGGGGCGGCGGCAGGCGCCTGGTCACCGTGACCCCAATTTTGGATTTACCGCTCGGGGGGTGGGGGGAGTCTGGATTTAACTGGCGACTGTTTTGGGGGACGCCGGACGCCATGTTGTGGAAAATAACCGATAATGTCAAGTACGAAGAGGACTGCGAGGTGAGCGGGGCTCGGGTGCAGGGGCGCAGCCCAGCCCCGCTGGAGTACAGTCGCGGAGGCAGGGACACCAGACCCAAGTCCGGGACGAGTGCGCAAGAGCCCTCATCTCTCGGCGGAGCCCGGTTCGGTCCTCCCGACACCCCCTGAGCCCCTTTCTCCGGGTCCCCTTTCCAGTACCGCTCTTTTCCTAAATACCCAGCCCTAGGGAACAAGGCCTGGAAGGAGAATGGCAGATCCCACCCACAAAGCTTACCAGTCGGTTTCCTCCGAAGAGAACAGCCCTCCTTCCCGTTTTCACGGAAGAGCGCCCGTCTGCAACCCTTAGACGTGGCTTTTTCGCAGGAAGTCTTGGTCTAAAGGGATCAAGTGAGACTGCCTGCCGGCGACACTTTTTGCAGAGCCTCCTCCGAGGAGGGCATGTCACCTGCCCCGCTACCTCCTCAGGGAAGCAAGAAAGCAGCCGAAGCTTGGCTTTCAGGAGAAGTGGGGGCTGGGGAGTGTTGGGGGGGGTGCTGAGGCCACATGGGGCCCTAAGCGCTCGGGAGTGCTCCAGCCTGTCGGACAGGTTGAGCTAGAGTTTCGGAGAGTAGGAGGGAGGGAGGCGGCGAGCGGGAAGAGGAAGAAGACGCAGGCGGCGGGAGTCGAGCACCCGGGCGCGTGCAGAGGGGAGTCCAGGCGGCCGGGACGCTACACCGCACGCCGTCTCCTGGACCTGGAGGGGCTGCCCCTGCTCGCAGACCCGGACACTTCCGCTAGGGGGCGACAGTACCATGTTTCTCCTGTTTTCCTTGCTGCCCTTGTGACCCCGGGACAGATGGAAACACATCTTTTAGGAATTAAATCGGGCCGCCGAGAAGCGAGGGGACGAGAGCAGGCAAGGTTGCCCAATTTTCAGGGTCTTTTCATTCTCCCTCTGTACCCGCAAGTGTGGGAACTGGCCTTGGACGAGCAGGCCGATCTTAATCTTAGCTCCACTTGGCCCGGCCTGGCTTGCAGGGAGGATAGCCTTGGCCTCCAAGCGTTCCTCCCCTAGATCCTCGGGCGATGTTGGATGGCAGGCATTGCCTGGGGGCGTCACCTGCCCGGAGGTCTTTGTCCTAAGGGCGTGGAAGGGAGGGTCCCTGGGGCGGGGAAGATGCACTCCTCCCGGGCTGTGCGCTTTATCCGTGTCAGTTGCTTCCGTTTTGCCGTGCGACTCCAACATGTGCGGGCTGAAGAGCGAGCGCGCTCGGCTAGGCGTTTGCCGCAGGCCGACTCACCCCCGGATCGCAGGCTGCTGCCTCTACCCCGCACTTACCTGGCTTGGGACCCGAGGTCCTGAGCAGGCGCCTCTGAGCGTCGTGGCCACCGAAGCGCCTAGACCTTTGCCGCCGGGCTGGGCGGACTCATCCCCCCAGGTCTTAAATCAGTCAACTCACAGTTGACTATGAAATCCCGGGATCCGACCCGAAGCGGGACCCCTGGGATTCACGTCTCCTCCAGCCGCCAGCCGGTTCGCTGTAGCGGGGTTTCGCACTAACCGGATCTCTGCTTTTCTCTTTACAGGATCGCCACGATGCGAGTAGCAACGGGAACCCGCGCATCCCCCACCTCTCCTCGGCCGGGCAGCATCTTTACAGCTCCGCACCGCCGCTGTCCCACACTGGAGTCGCCGAATACCAGCCGCCACCCTACTTTCCACCGCCCTACCAGCAGCTGGCTTACTCTCAGTCGGCAGATCCCTACTCGCATCTGGGCGAAGCCTACGCTGCGGCCATCAACCCCCTGCACCAGCCTGCAGCCGCCGGCAACCAACAGCAGGCCTGGCCCGGCCGCCAGAGCCAGGAGGGCGCCGCCCTGCCTTCGCACCACGCGCGCCCGGCCAGCCTGCTCCCCCACCTCTCCGGGCTGGAGGGAGGTGCCGTGGGCGCCCGCAGGGATGCCTACCGCCGCTCGGACCTGCTGTTGCCCCACGCACACGCCTTGGACGCCGCGGGGCTGGCGGAGAACCTGGGGCTCCACGACATGGCTCACCAGATGGAAGAGGTGCAGGTGAGCGGCTCGGCTGGGAATCGCTTGCCTAACAGCCACCCCTCATGCCACGTTCACCCCACACTGAAAGGAAACTTTGTCATTTCTCCCCCCAGAACGTTGACGACCCACACTTGCTTGGGCCCGATCAGACTGTAATCCGCAAAGGTAAATAGTGACCCAGAGGTTTTTCCTCCTCTGGCTCCGCGCGCGCGGGCAGCCCAACTGGTGAAGTTACCAATTTGCAGCCAGGATGGGGCTCCTGGGTGGTGATCATGGGACATTGTGTGATAGAGGGGACCCACAGGGACTGAGGGAGCCTAGGTTTGTAGGAGGGACAAGACTGGATTTTTTTTTTTTTTTTTTTTTACCTCGACGTGGTTGAAAAGGGAGCTCTTAGGAGCTGCCTCTTAATCTCTGGAGTTGCTACTCCTTAGTGTTCTCAGGGAAATGTGGCTCTCTGAATGCCAGAGGGTGTTTTACAGAGTCGGAAAAGTCTCCCAGAGCTGGTATTGTGATTAATTCCCAGGGTAGAAAAAAAACGAAGCTGGCACCTTAGTTATTGGTTCTGTTGACAGTTTTAATTGTGGAACGAGTTGATGTGATTTTTTTATTCCAAATTTCAAACACGCATATGCGAGGAGTAGTTAGTTCTGACCTGCAAGAAAAGTGTTGAAACAGTTTGGGCTACCAAATAAACAGACCTGAAAGGGACAGAGCTGCATGGTCAGTCAGAGATTGGGTTTTTGCAGGGGAGGGAGGAGATGGAGAAAATTGGATTACTTTGAGTGGCTTGCAAATTTAAGTTACATACTGATAGGATTTCCAATCTGGCAGTTTTGGGAAATGAAGTCAACCCAAATTAAAAGAGTCAAGGTTTGTTACTTGAACTTGAAGTGTTTGAGTAGATTAGGGAGTGTGAGGAAATGGTATTTGGGGAAAAATTGGAAAATAGAATTTCCCAGTAAACTTAACAACAACAACAACAAAAAGGACTGATTTGTATTTTAAAATTTATTGTGATCAGCTGCATTGAAGGGTTTTGGGAAAGGATCTGAATTTGTACTGTGCTTTTCGTTGTTCATTGATTGAGGGGGAACAAATCACCACTTATTTAATATTGAAGCAGTTTTCTGAAAACAAAGATGCTATGCTTGGAATCTTGACTAATTGATTTTCCAAGGTGTTATCTTGTGAATTTCAGATTTATCTTTGAGGAAAGAACATGGCTTTAAAAAGCCTGCTTGAGCAGGGTGTGGTGGTACACGCCTGTAATCCCATCCACTCAGAAGGCCTAGGCAAGTTTGAGGCCAGCCTCAGCAACTTAGTGAGACCCTGTCCAAAGTAAAAAAGGGCTGGGAATGTAGCTCAGTGGTAGAGCGCTTGCCTAGCATGTGCAAGGCCCTGGGTTCCATCCCCAGTGCCTGTGGGGAAGGTCTCCTGGCAATTTGTGATACAGCATGTGAAGCTGTTTGTCTGACAACTGCTTTTAGCTTTGGTTCGTGGGTCCCCCCCCCAAAGGTCTCTTGCTCAGATGCAACTCTGACCACCGGTCCTGGTCTTGTCTCTCAGGTCCCATTTCCATGACGAAGAACCCCCTAGGTCTCCCCTGTCAGAAGGAGCTGGTGGGAGCCGTGATGAATCCCAGTGAAGTCTTCTGCTCGGTTCCAGGAAGACTGTCCCTCCTCAGCTCCACGTCCAAATACAAAGTGACGGTGGCTGAAGTGCAGAGGCGGTTGTCACCGCCTGAATGTTTAAATGCCTCGCTGCTGGGAGGTGTTCTCAGAAGGTACTGGGCTCTGAGATTGGGGATTGGAAGGGGAATGTCTAAAAGGGCTTGGAGGTATTTTTAACATTTATATAACTTTTATACCTCACGCTGAATGGTAATGGGCTTAGAGAGAGTTTTCAGTACATTTCTCTCTTTTCTTTTAGAAAGTGCCAAATGCAGAAGGAAGTGCTAAAACAGCGCTAACAAATTATCATTTGGTTGGGATTTGATTCTATGCATGAAGCAGCAGCATCTGTACTAGGAGAAGGGGGGCTGTGTGGGCTTCATTCCCCCAGGGAGTTTTTGGGAGGTTGTTGCAATTTTACAAGAGAAAATTCATCTACTCCAGTACAACTTGCTGTGTTCTGTGATTAAACAATAACAAAATCCCCACAGCAGAAGGCAAGTGATTCTCTGGAAGGGTTTTGATTTTTAATTTTACGGGGATGAATTAAACAAGGTATCGCTTCTGATGACAACTCTCATCATGTAGGCGTTGATGAACTTCAGCTCTGACAACAGAACATAGGGACTGTAGAATTTTTCAAAGCGTGGTTTCTTGACAATAGTCAACTTTCTTTTCCCAGAGCCAAGTCCAAAAATGGAGGCCGATCTTTGCGGGAGAAGTTGGACAAGATTGGGCTGAATCTTCCCGCTGGGAGACGGAAAGCTGCTCATGTGACCCTCTTGACATCCTTGGTGGAAGGTCAGTGCTATTCTTGTTTTGTGGTGTTTTTAAGTTTTAGTGCTTTGTCAACAAAGAGGCAGAAAACAATTCATAAGGCTCAGTTACAAGTAGAGATGAAAGCAGTTTGAATGGTCATGTTCATTACAATGAATCATAATTTTACTAATAAGCTAACACTTGTGTATGACTGCTCATGCACTCTGCTCTGGGTTCCCCAGAAAGTCAGTGTTAAAAAAGAAATTGGTTTTCCCAGTCAAAATCGTGCCATAGGGGTGAAGGAAATTTCCTTTTTCATGAACGTGTTTTTTGAAAGCTGATCCGATGTTACAGCTTTTAAAAGTAGCTTATTAGCCAGGCGCCTTAGAGCACTTCAGTAATCCTTGCGTCTCTGGAGGTTGAGACAGGAGGATTACGAGTTCAAAGCCAGCCTCAGCAAAAGCGAGACCCTGTCTCTAAATAAAATACATGTGGCTCATCCCCTGAGTTCAATTCCTAACCAAAAAAAAAAAAAAAAGGCAGCTTACTTACTGATGGTCAAAAGTAGCACTTCTGAAATAGTTTTGTAGCTGTGGTCTATCGGGATTGTACTCGGTGCACACACACAGTGAGGCGTGCCCAGGTCAACTCCTTTCCTTCCATCAAAATGGGAACACACCTGTAATCCCAGTGGCTCAGGAGGCGGGTCAGGAAGAGCTTAAGTTTGGGGTCAGCCTTAGTGAGACTTTGTCTCAAGATAAAATTTTCAAAAAGGGTTAAGGAGCAGGGCGCAGTGGCACATGCCTGTAATCCCAGTGGCTCGGGAGGCTGAGGCAGGAGGATCTCAAGTTCAAAGTCAGCCTCAGCAATAGCGAGGCACTAAGCAACTCAGTGAGACCCTGTCTCTAAATAAAATACAAAATAGGGCTGGGGATGTGGCTCAGTGGTCGAGGGCCCCTGAGTTCAATCCCAGGTACCAAAAAAACCCAGGGATGAGCAGTGATTCTCTTCCTAGTTCTTAGATTATAGTATGTGGTGTTTTTAGTTTCTTGGATGGGAGACCCTTCCCCCGACCTGTAAAGTAGCCAAGAATGCACTATGGCCCCCACCCCTCACCCGCAAAGGTGTGCTGGCTCTGGTTCTGGGCTGGGGAAGCCAATGAGAAGTGGGCTCCAGGGCAGCACAGCTTTTTTGAACACTGTATGTCCCTGGCCTCTTGGCGTGACGGTGGTGCCGAGACCTGGCACAAACCCTCTACCCTTTTACGAGTGGCTTAGAGGTCAGGGTGAGGAATAAGGGCTGCTGGCTTGGGAATAGCTGCCCTGCGGGAAGAAGTGTGGGTTTTGCAGGAGGAGTGCGGGTGTTTTGCGGGGTTTCCTGACCAGCCAGGCAGGGGGCTTGAATGAATGTGCTCCTGGAACAATGGCTCTCAGATTCTGATCCCTAGCGGTGCGTGCGGCCCCTCTACCATCTGGGGTTTTTGCAAAGCCCTCCTAGTCTTGCTCCCTGGGGCCAGGAAAGGCCCCTTTCTGGTGGGTGATGACGCACTGGTCTCTTCCCGAGGCCCCCTTCACCTGACAGAGGAGCTTATCTCCCTTCGTCTTCCTGCTGCCCCACAAAAAGTTTGACTATCAAGAGGAAGTGTGGACCTCTGGTCACGGAGCATTCTCAAGCACAGGAACGGACGTCAAGTGCTTGGCCCCCACCTGTGCTCCTCACCCTCCACACCTGGAGGCTGCCCTGGAAGCCCTGCCTGCCTGTCTGCCATGGAGTTTTTGCCCTGCGTGATTTCCTCTTAGAATGCAGAGCGACTTGCAGACAGTCTCTGGGAAAGAGAAAGGGCAGTTTGCTGGAATTTCCTGCAGCCATCCGAAAACCTAAACCTGTTGCCTGTTGCTGATGATTCTAGGTGAAGCTGTTCACTTGGCCCGGGACTTTGCGTACGTCTGTGAAGCCGAGTTTCCTAGTAAGCCAGTGGCCGAATATTTAACCAGGCCTCACCTGGGAGGGCGGAATGAGATGGCGACGAGGAAGAATACGCTGCTGGCAGCTCAGTGAGTATCCATACTGTCTCGGAGCTTCAGGAGTGCAGTCCCTGCAGCTCAGAAAAGGAACCAGTCGTGAAACAGGGTGTAGAGAGGGAAAAGGCCAAGAGATCCCTGGTTCCTGAGTCAAAGCCATGAACTTTCTTGCAGGGCTTGGAAGGGTCGCCCGAGTGTGTTGCTCATGAGCACTCTGGGCTGCCTGGTTACTGAGCTCAACTTGGTCCAGCCCCCTTCCATTTCTGTATTTGCATAGCTTATAAAAATTTGTTTTATCATAGGCAGTAAAGAGATTGTGTATCTTCTGCCTCCTGATAACACACTTGTTTTTTAAATGCAAAGTTCAGGGTGATTTGAAGGAGTCCTGAGCCAATTAAATGTCTCACATGCTACTAAATGCAGCTGTGGAGTTTCTCATGGAAACCCAAAGGAGGCTGATTTTACAGTCAAGCTAAATGAAGCAGAACAGTCAAGTCAGGAAAGGAGGCAGGAGTGCAGTGAGCCAGCCTGGGCAGAGATGGGGAGTTTCAGGGGATGCATGCGTGATTCTCTGGGTTCCTGATTAAGGTTCATTTATTGGAACTCATTTATACCAAAACAAACTGCCTTGACCTCAGGATCCTGGTGACCTTGGCTAGTTGCAGGGTTAATCCTGTTACTTCTAATTGCAGTGAGGGTAGATAAGAGAGCTCTGGAAAAGAGCTTAGTTCAGACTCTGGCACTTAATAGGTGCTAAGTGCAATAGTTGGCCATTGGTGGTAGTTCCCTTGCTTGGTTCAGCCAGGCCACCCACTGCCTCCAGGGGTCATCCTCAGGGTGGTTTGTCCTGCACTCCCTTCCTGAAGAGCTGGGTGTCACTCACTGGATTCCTGATGTCTTCCCAGGCAAGTGTGTAAAGAATTCACGGACCTCCTCAATCAGGACCG